TGGGTATACAGCCTGTGCTCAGGGAATAGCATTAACACTTAAGCAAAGCTTTTGTCTGTGCATTGTGTTTACATTCATTTTGGCATCCCAGTTTTTTAAAAGAAATTCTAAGGTGTCTTACGTGTTTTTCTTGCTCAGCACCCTGTGATCAGAAAGGCAAATGACTTTCAGTGATTCATAGCTGTGTGCTACCCCATCAACCAAAAAACTCACTTCGGGGGAGATCTAGGTGTCCAGATTTTTTTTAATGTTTTCTTGTTTTTTTGGGGGGGTGGGGGTAGTGGAGAGAGTAGAGCTGAGAAGACTACATCTTAGCGGTGTCCCTTAGCCATGTGGGTGAACTGGCTTAGGCCTATCTGTTGTCCCAGGCCAAAGACTAACAGCTGGCTTGGCCCCTTAGGAACCTTTTTCATGTGTCCTTAACAAATGACAGCTCATAAAACTATGAGAATGTAGCAAATCACTTTAAAAGGAGTTCCCAAAAGTCCTCAGAAAGAAGAAAATTCTGCAAGTCCCTTCCTGCTTTAGACAGCCATTAAGATCCCAACAAATTCTACAGAAGTTAAAACCCACAGAGAGGTTGTTCATGTTATTGTTCAATCTTCAGTTGTAAGAGTAATTCTCTATTTTTATATTGAAACATAATTACTTGATAGCTCAGGGTCTACATTTCATTCAACTTTTTACACCAAATTCTGCAGAATGGTCAAAATGGAATATTGGGGGCTGTTGTAAACAGAGGCTTAATTTTATTAGACGTAGTCAGTTATTTATTAAAGCATGATGTTAATAAAATAGGCATATTCTGGCTGGTGTGTATAAGTGGTTTTTTTAAACAATTCACAGAAGACAAAATTGAAAAGGCACTCCATTTATGTATGAGGAAAAATGGATTGTAAATAGCTAAGCTGCCTTGTGAGAACTTGGAAAATGTGCTGATACTTAGTAACTACCTCAGTTGTGAGGAATTTCCTTTTTAGCTTAGACTGCTATTACTTTTACTTGGTAGAAATGAATCTGGTCTCCAAAATGTGGCTCAAAGAGTTATCCCCATAGACCTTGTTAGATTGTTTTTAATTTAAAACCTTGAACTCTGCCCAGCTGTTTTCTTTCAGTCAAGTTCTCTAAACCAATAACATTTTCCGAATTAAATGTTCTTGAAGGTTCTTCTGGACTCTTACTGATTTGTTTTCTTTCTTTGTATTTTTTCTGTTACTCTTTTATTATTTAAATTGTCTCTTGCTTTTGAACTTGAACTATGAAATAAACAAATCGTAGATTTTTCCATTCAGGTCTGACTGGATAACTCTTGGCTTCTTACCAGCTGGCAGGCTCACTCTTTCCCCCCACCAAAAGAAAGAATAAAGGCAAGTTGAATATTTTAAAACCTGAAGAGTTCACAGTATGAGGAAGAATAAAAGCTATGTTAGGAGAACTGACTTTTCTAAAGCCTCAGTTAATAGCATGTGAAGGGTTTGTGTTTTACAAAGTCACTTCTAAATTATTTTTCTTTCAAACCCTTCACCCACTCTCTATCTTAAGAAAAAATGTTTTGTGAGTCTTAGATTTATATTTTCTTTCAAAAGTAGTAATTAGCAGCTACTATTTTGATAAAAGAAAAAGTGCAAAGAATTGACTTGCATCTTTTAACTTTAGAGCATATTAGAAATCTAACAGTTTATACATGAAGTAAAATTTATCATTTGTGATTATAGAACCAAAAGAATTAAGTGTAGTTGGTTCTGCATAAAATTCTACTTTTCCATTTGTGTTGTCAGAGTCTGCATAGCTAAGGGTAGTATGTTAATAACAGTATCTACTACAGGAGCGCGCGCGCGCGCGCGCGCGCGTGTGTGTGTGTGTGTGTGTGTGTGTGATCACTCAAGCAAATGCCAAATTACCAAATACGACTTTCAGTGGGAAAAAAAAACATAACAGCATTCCAAATTAAGTTTCTACTTTTAAACTCTTAATATTTTCTTCTAAGTTTCTTCATATATATATATATATATATATATATATATATATATGGAAAATATTTGAAAGATGACCTATGGTAATATAGGAATTCAAGTCCACCAGTAAGGCAATATTTACTTTTCTAATTTAGATTTTAAGTAGGTAATATATTACCAGGGTTTAATATATATAAAGGTATAGAGTGAACATTTCCCTTTCAATTCTGCCCATCTGCCAAGTTATCCTCATACCCTAAATAAACGTAGTTTATATACATCTTCTTCCAAAGTTTCTTTTTACATATACAAGTAAATATGAATATTTTTCTCTTTTTTACACGAAATGTAGACTATTATAGTCTATAATGTTTTATGTTTTATTTTAACTTAAAATAGTATTTAGAGGAAGGTGGCTTCCAAAAGATACAGATGTCTGTTTTAAAGGCATGGTTTCTCCATGGTACCACATTTGGGATTTTTACTGCATTTTACACAGATTAAGTAATTTTCCAAGAAACAAACATTGAACTGAACGAGGAGCAGTTTGGCAGTATAGTTTTATAATCCCGGAGTGCACAATTAAGATGTTCTCTGTTCATGTTAAAGTTAATTTTTGGTAGTTTCCATATTGTCCCCAGTGAAGAAGACATTGGCCAAAACAATTGGATGCATACTCTTAGAATACAGTATATTAACACCACTATTAATGCTTGGGAATGATTCAAAGGAAATGTGTCCTGGAATTTACTCATTCGATTAGAATGCAGTACTTTTAATGTTTTCTCAATCCCAAATGCCTTGAAGCAGCATCAACTGTCACACAGGATAAAGATGTAATTAATATTAGGAAAATTTGCAACTAGATCTTGGTTACCGCATGAATTATCTGTCCAATGGTAAAGGAGTCATTAACATATGTAAATAACTGTACAAGTTCAGTTTTCATGTAAGATTGCATTTTTGCTCATCAATGTTTCAAGAGACTTCTAAGTTCAGCAATAATCAGTAAAATCTACAGAAATCCATTTCTCAGCATGAGTGTCCACATGTGGAATTAAATGTATGTTTTACTCTGCTTTGGACATTTCTTAAAGAAATGTTAGGAATTCTGGAAATAGCACAGTATTGTTGGAAGGAAAAAGGTTTTCATGCATTAATTCTACCAGGTAAAAGCTGATGGTGTGGTTAAAGAATGAAGATAAAGCCTGGGAGTGATGACCTAAGGTACTTTTCTAAAGGGTCTTGTTCTCTGGGCTTTGGGGAAATGTTGCAACAGCTTCCTTGCCACTCTATAATATTTTGTTTCTTACATGACATGGTTGGAAGTGTGTGTGTGTGTGTGTGTGTGTGTACACAATCATCTACATACAGAGATTTTTTGTGTATTTTCAAATACTTAATCCCAAGTAGACAGGTAGACCTTACCTTGTCACTTATGGGCTGCCTTACCCCTGCTGTCAGTGGTGTGTGCTTGGGGAATGCAGGCTAATTTTAATGATAGCCTAAGGGAAACATAATTAGGAAGGTAAGTCTCCTGCCAAGAAAAAATACACGTGTGCGCGCCACACACACCCCTGCACACATACAAAATGCATTCCAAATAGTTTTGTTTTGTTTTTTAGATTTACCACTGCCTGGGATTTGCTTTTCTTTTTCACCGTAGATAACCTAAAACTGATGGTAACATGCTGTTTTGTGGTGACACTGCTCAGAGCAGTTAGGACCTGATTGGCCACAAAGAAATAATCATGGTCAGTGGGTGATTTTCTGAATACACATTAGGACAGGGGTGGGCAAACTTTTTGACTTGAGGGCCACAATGGGTTCTTAAACTGGACTGGAGGGCCAGAACAAAAGCATGGATGGAGTGTTTGTGTGAACTAATATAAATTCAAAGTAAACATCATTACATAAAAGGGTACAGTCTTTTTTTTTTTTTTTTTTTTTTTTTTTTAGTTTTATTCATTTCAAACCCGCAGGCCATAGTTTGCCCACGGCTGCATTAGGATCTCAACCCTCTTTCACTGCATTTGCCTTTAAAGGTCTTCAGTGCCCTTGCTCTCACCTTTCTTTTAAAAATAATGAAAAATTACTACTTTGCAGTTTCAGTTCTGAATACTTTACAGTCAGTAGCAGCAGCAACAAACAGTTTTGGGGACATACTATTTACTGTAAAATGAACAATAGTTATCTGTAGTTTTATCCGTCATCTCTCAACCAAGCAGTGAGGTGGGATAGAGCTGTGTGCCTGGCAATAAGTCCAGGCCAGGTTGATTATCTCATGCAATCCTGCATAGTATAAATTGTTCCCATTTTGCAGATTTCTGAGAGGACTTGAAGTTAGGTCATTTGCACAATGGGTGACAATTAAGAAATGCAAGAAGCAGATTTGGAGCAGAGCATGGTCTGCCACCAGAGCCTATTTATTTCAGGTGCTAATTTTTATTTGGTTACCCTATTCCCCTTAGTCCGTGTTATATGAATCATTAGGAAGGGACGAGCTTGTCAGGTGTGCCACATGTTAGCTATCCTGGCCCTGCAGAATGGCCAGGTTAAGGGTCATGGCAGACATTAGTTGACTTGGCTTACCTGATTATAGGGGAAGAAATCAAGGAGTACCTGGAGATAAATCTTAATGATAAATCTAATCTCACACAGCGGCTTCTTGCTTAGTGTACTTTAATGCAGAAAGAGATCAGATGATTGTGCATGGGGACCATGTGACCTCTTCTAGTTCTGGAAGAGCTGATATTAAACCAAGTGATCCTGTTCTTCCTCTCCAGGACACCTTCATATGACCCTGTGTGGAAGGGCACTGCATTGTTGGGAAGGGTCAACTTGCTGAATACTTAAGCAAACACAGTCTGTTCAGAAAAATACCATGGTTTACACAGGGAAAATTCATACCTGCTTGATCACTTGGAGCTTTGTAAGGAAGTAAATAAACCTTGGGATAAGTAAGAGGCAGTAGATATAATTGGGCTTTTTTTTTTTTTTGAAAAAACAAATTTTTATTGTCTAGAAATGTATATAAAAAGAAATTTCCCACAAAAGATGCTATTCTCTCATTTCTCCATCTTCTTCCTCTTCAACACCCCTGATATAAAGGACATTATTACACCTTATTAAAACTTCACCCAGGTGTCCAGACAAGGCTCCATCTATGTATTCTTCTGTGTTTGCAAGCTGCATGTTCATATAGCCATCTACAGATACCAGGTAGCCTTTGTACTCCATTCCCCACTTAAGTTTCACCATTACTGGCTTTCCTGTTAATCCGTTGAGGAAAGGTTTGGGATTGAGGGGCAAACTCATCGCAAGGATGAGCAAATGGTGTAGGCTACTCGCTGCCAACCCAGCTCTTGTCCATCCCTGGTGCTTGAAGCGCCTACCCCAGCTCGGACTGCGAGAAAATCTAATTTGGGCTTCTTAACCCTGGACAAGATTCCACCTTAAAATTTACACCTGGTAGAATTAATATGAAGATATCCATGCTACACAAAGCAATCTATAGATTCAGTGCAATCCCCATCAAAATACCAATGCATATTTCACAGATCTAGAAGAAATACTCCAAAAATTTATATGGAACCAAAAAAGACCCTAAACAGCCACATCAATCTTGAGAAAGAAGAACAAGGTTGGAAGGATCACAATACCGGATATCAAGTTATACTACAAAGCCACTGTAATCAAAAGAGCCTGGTATTGGCACAAGAACAGGCATATAGATCAATGGAACAGAACAGAACCAAGAAATCCACCCAAGCCATTATGTTCAATTAATATTTGACAAAGAGGTAAGAGCATACAATAATGTGAAGAAATCCTCTTCAATAAATGGTGTTGGGATAATTAGGCAGATATTAGACCACCAACTCGCACCATGCACAAGAATATACTCAAAATGGATAAAATAATTAAATGTAAGTCGTGAAACCATAAAAATCCTAGAAGAAAACATAGCAAAATATCTGACATCTCACATAGCACAGTTCTCACAGGTACATCTTATAGGGCAAGAGAAACAAAGGAGAAAATAAATGGGACTACATCAAAATAAAAAGCTGCACAGCAAAAGAAACCAGCATCAAATTGAAAGGGAACCCACTTATAGGAGACCATACTTGCCAGTGATACATCTGATAAGGGGTTAATTTCCAAAATATGTAAAGTACTTATGCAACTAAACAAAAGAAAGCCCAATTAAAAAATGGGCAGAAGACCTGAATAGATAACTTCTCCAAAGAGGACATATAAATGGCCAAGTGACATGAAGAAATGCTCAACATCATTAATCATCAGTGAGAAGAAAATTACAATGAGGTACCACCTCACACCTGACAGAATGACTATCATACTGGTGAGGGTGTGGAGAAAAAGGAACTAGACACTAGACCATTTGGTCTAGTACACTGTTGAAAATGCAGACTGGTACAACCACTATGGAAAATGGAATTTCCTCAAAAAAATTAAAAATGGAAATGCCATGTGACCCAGTGATCCCACTTCTAGGACTATATCCTAAGAAGTAAAAAACACCAATCACAAAGAATAATTGCCCCCCACCCCCATGTTCATAGCACTGTTGTTATTTACAACTAGGGGCCCAGTGCATGAATTATTGCACCTTGAAAGGAACTGTGGGCCGTAAGGCTGCAGTGGGCACAGGGGTGGGTCTTGGCCCATCCTCTGTGCCCCCGCCCCGCTCCTCCCACCATGGCCCCCGATTCCCTGTCTGCTGGCAGCTCCGCTACAGCTCCCACGCAATGACAGTGTAGGCCCCACTCACACCTGCTGATGGCGCAGAACAATTGGGGCTGGTGCCAGCAGCAGGTGCAAGCAGAGCAGGTGCTGTCAGTGGGCGCGAGCAGGGCTGGCGCCGGCAGTGGGTGCAAGCGGGGCTGGCACAGGCAGCAGGTGTAAGTGCCTGGCGGGACTGTGGAGCATGGGAGCAAAGAATTTTCAGTAACCACCAGAGGTTCACCTAGTGACAGTGACCGGTGGTGCCCCGCCTTGGTCTGGCACCCCCTCTCCACCATCCCGCCGCAGCTGATGCCCTCTATGTTCCACACTCTGCTGCCTACTGCCAATGCCCGCTATGTTCCACGCACGCCCCCTGGTGGTCAGTGCACATCATAGCAACCAGTTGTTCCACCGTTAGGTCTATTTGCATATTAGGGTTATAGATGATAGATAGATAGATAGATAGATAGATAGATAGATAGATAGATAGATAGATAAGATATGGAAACAGTCCAAGTGCCCATCAGTAGGTGAATGGATTAAAAAACTGGTATATTTACACAATGGAATACTATGCAGTGTAGAAAGATATTTTACTCTTTGAGACAGTATAGAGGGACCTGGAGAGTATTATGCTAAGCAAAATAAGCCAGTCAGAGAAAGACAAGTATGACATGATCTCACTTATATGTGGAATCTAATGAACAAAATAAACTGATGAACAAAAAATATCCAGAGACATTGAAGCATGCAACATACTGATGTATTTCAAAGCCGGGGCGGCGGAGGGGGGGCGAGGAGATTAACCAAAGAACTTGCATGCATATATGCATAGCCCATAGACAAATAATAGTGTGGGGGAAGGCCTGGATAGGGGACAGGAGCAGGTTGGTGGGGCTCAATGGTGGGGGTGGGGGGGGGACATCTAATACTTTCAACAATAAAGATAAATGTGAATAAAGTAAAAAGCAAAAAAAAAAAAATTTACACACTAGGGGCAGAGATTGGACACATGGAACCCAGATAGTAGGCACTTCTGTAAATGAGGTGTGTATAACAATAGTTTTCTCTGGCTGGATTGGTCTTAGTGCAAATTAGAAAACACAACATCTAAATATAAAAACCTGTGCTTTTGGGACAACAGATTTTGACACTTTTTAACCAGGAATGAAACCTAGGAGCTTTTGTTGTGTCCTGAACACATGTCCCAGCATGCCCATCAGGCAATATATGCTGAAAAAAATAAAAAGGAAAGGTCTTGATCTAGGGGTACTCAGATGCTGGTGTCTGACCTTGATGCGTAACCTTGATACAAGGTCCAGAGAGAAATATCTAAGACCAGCAGGGACTGAAGGCTCTGCCTCCAAGTGGAAGGCAAGTGATGCCTTACTCATCTGTACAGATTGAAGCTGAGAGGCCATGTAACTCAAACTACAGAACCAGGTGCTCTGGGAAGGGTGAATTCCTAGAACTAAAGGTTAACTACCCCCTTAGTATTAGTAAATGATCTACTTTGAGCAAGCAGGAGTTCTACCTTACTCAAAGGGTAGTGACTTAAATAATTTGTTAAACCAAAGGTGCCATAGGCTGATGGCGACCAGTTGTTGGTGAACAAAATCCCTGGACTCAAGAGGTGGATCAGAGTGGTGTGGGGGGACAGAACAGCATCTAAGGTGGCTGCTGGAGATAGGCATTCTTCTTCAACTTGCTCCTTCAGCCATTGGCCCACACACAAGGGAGGGCTAGATGGGCCGTTGTGTGCCCCACGTTGCATACAATTCGTCTACTGAGTTCCCTTGTGGAGAACTGTAATTTGAGGCCAACCAAAGAATTTGAAAGCCCCTATTTTATTGGAACAGACTCCAAAGATGAAATACCTAGAAAGGCCAGCCATTGGTTATCTGATGTCTATAATGGCAGTCATGCTGGCTCTGAATGTGAGGGCCTCCAAAACCACTTGGAATTTGAGGCAGTAATATGATTTATGACATCTGATCTTGGTCTCTGTATGGGAGGATGAGTAAGGATGTAAGTAACATAGTGTCCTTATTCTCAGGAATCCCATAATTCCATGGAGGAGACAAATCTCACCCAAGAAACATGCCAGTGAATGCACAAGTCTTCGGTCATCTGTACCTCAAAGGAGAGCAGTGCGTGCTGCAATGGTCAGGGTGACGTCCTGACCTACCTGGCCCTACCTGGGTTTGCTAGGAGGGGAAGAGAGAGAAGAATCTTGTGAGTCCCCGTGAGCAGGACTCATCATTGGTTTGTTGTACTCTCTGGGTGCTACAGGTTGCCTCCAATGTAAGAGAAGGGAGATGAGATAAAATGTCTAGGGATGGGATAAGTGTGAGTAGTGAAGCCGCTGAAAGGAAGTGTGTCAAAAAAGCAGAGCAGATGGGTTTGCTACTACAGGACTAGGGAAGGGTAGGATCAGTGTATGAAGCCCTCAAAAGCCAGGCAAAGCAATTTGAAATTCAAGTCGGCACTATCTGATGCAAATTCTTGAATAGGAATTGATAATATGCTCAGGGTGTATAAAGAAGATGAATTAAGTAAGAGTATGCAGCATGGATTGTATGGTGTTGCCCTTGGATTGATAATGTGCACTGGACTGTGTAAACTGCAGGGATTCAGCTCCTTTTACAGTACATTCTGTACATTCTAGCCTCCTCCAAACAATCTTGATTTGGAGCTTTCTGGTGGATACAACCCAATTCCACACTAGGGGTACTTTTTGGACATCCATGCTCATAATGCAATCAGACACATTAAAAGCGGTCCTCCCAGCCTCCCACTCATACCCTTGGATTCTGACCAGCCACACACACATATCTTCAACTTTCTTCAAGCATTGCTTCCACTTCACCTCCACAAAGGCATTCTGGAGCTTCCAGGCATCTTAGGCCATTCTATTCTGCTCTGGCCTCCTGACTCTGGAGAGAAACGCAGAGAATGATCCCCGGAGTCTGGTTCCCCAGACACCATTATGCAGGGACCTGGGATTACAGGGTTGTTGAAAAACCTCTTCAAGCATTAGGTAGCCAGTTAGTGAGATGAGTGGGGGCAAATATATATCAAGTTAAGAAGGAGCTACTATGATGAGGGTGTTGGAAGGGCAGAACCTCTATCTGCTTGCCTCCTGCTGGCCCAGGTGACTTATGTCATGTTACCTATATCACAGTTTGACTTCTTTCTGGGCTTTTCTTAAGAAATCATTCCCTGCCCTGCCTACTGCAAAAAGCGATTATGAGGAAATGCTGGGAAGATTCACACACACCGGATTTTGGGAGCTGGAATGCACAATGGTGTTCCAAGGTAAGTAGTGCCCTTCTAGGGAACTAGGATGCCATGAGCTGCTTCATCACAGACCTTTTCTCACCAGGCACCATGTGCACTTAGGCCCCTGGATGAGGGATGATTGCATTTCTGAGGTCTGGCTATTGAGCCCCACCTCTGATAGTGGGCATAGGTTGGAGCCTGGGCAGGAAGAAGCTCCCACTTCAGGGACTCTGAGATGGACACTGCCCCCACCTGCACTCTTTACACACTCTCTGTGGGTTACACATTTAGAGAAGAGC